GGGCGTTCCGGCGAGAAGTCGCGCGCGGCCGTGCGGCATCCGCCGCTGTGGCGTTTTGAGTTGCGGCGTGGGAGGGGGGCGATGGCGGCGAGACAATGGATTGGGGGGGGGGCGTGGAGCGACACGGCGCGTGCCGTGGGGGGGGGGGTGGAGGCTTTCCCCTCGCCGGATGTCGGCGCTTCAGGAGAGGTGGCCTGAGACCCACACGCCGTGCCAAGGAGGCCGAGATGCACTTCGATCCCGCCCGGTGAGCTCGCCACCCCCACCGTTTAGCTCACAAAGTGGACAAGTAGCTGTCAAAATACTACCCACGCAATGGTACGAGCGAAGGATACGTGAAGGAAACATTGTCTGCTTATTTCGTTATTTATATTCTCTACAACACCGCTGACGACTATTTTGAGTTTAATAATAAGTACATGATGAGTGTATAACCTTTGCCAATCCAATGGCAGGTAAAGGTATCCCTGTAACAAACCAAGCGTGAAGGTTGTGTAATCATACTTCACCACTCTGGTTAGTTGCGGGGATTAAATGAGAGGGGCCCAGGACCCATGAAGATCTCACTCCCTACTGAGGTCCACCAAGGCTGCGAATCCACCTTTTGGTCACCGTGTCCACAGTGCAGTGTACTTCACCCCACTGAGCTACTATGTTAACCATCCAGGAATCATTGCCAGCGCATGTTTGAATTCACGGCATTCATATGTAACGGTGGCAAGCGAACACTGGTCAAAAACCCTCGCACACAGCCAGACACAGACACCGAGAGACTGAGATCCACGTGGCCACAGTGCGGTGACGTGGGCAAGCGCCGATGAAGGCCGGCGAGGCGCGCAAGGGGACGGCGTGGTCAGCGTGGTCAGCGCCACGACGTTCAGAATCTTTATTTAGACTGCAGGAGGAATCCGATGAGCTATAAAGCTCTTTTTTAACAGATGTCCTGTAAGGGCGGGTCAGAACGTTACAAACAATACAAAACAAGTGAGGAGTGCAGGGTAGAGGAAAGGTAAGCAAATCGCAAAAAAATATACAAATATAACTACACTCTTTTACCAGGCAGAGCCCACTGAGCTATTCAATTTTTTTCAGAAGCAACCTGGCCACAAATGATAGCGCAACGAAGTGACTTACCACGCGTAAGTTCCACATCGCACAGCCCAGGCGCTGTGCGATCTCCATATCACACTCCAGATGCACACTTTAAAGACGAGTCCATCGAAAGGAGACCCACACCAGGTTGGCACTGCCAGCACCACTGACATTCACGGCCAAGGGTATACATCCAAGTTGGCAGCATTGTAGCATAAGCAGATGAAGTAATCCACTATGGCTCCCAGCACGCCCATAGATACACGCAAGTACATCAGGCATTGCGGAAAATTAGGTCGAGACAATGGCAGACGGCAGTGTAAATCAATGACGGGCGAACAGACATCAGGGTCTATTCCACAACATGTCGTCTACACAGAAACGTTACATATATACGACTAATTAGGCATCAAGGCCAATTGATATAGACTGCCCTCTGTACAATATTATTGAAGGAATTAAAATATATATAATGTAAGCACTAATGGACTACCATTGACAATGTGGCAGTCATTATTATCCCCAATTAAACGAAATCTCCCTTTCATCTCTCCTCACCACCCAACCCCAGAACCCCTCAGCTCCTTTCTTGAGCCAAGTCACTCATTTCTGGCTGAACGCACACGAGCGTAGCTCAAATTGATTGCAGGCACTGGGTGATTCTGGGAGGCACTCAATACCGCCTTCCGTAATCAACACACACACACACGGCTTGCGCCCTCGCCAAGAATGTACATGATTTACAACATTTATGCATTCAGTGTGCGTTAATGAGGATAGAAATTGTATTATCTGAACATCTGTTGCCATTTAATTTCACCGTCTAGTGGTGCGTGCAAATGCAGGAAATATGCCACATGCAGTGATGTCATAAAAAAAAAACAAGGCTTGCTTCGTTACGAAAGTTAAACCAACTTTGGGCAAGTCAATTCAGAATTAAACGTTTTAATTTCAAGCGGAACCTGTTGCATGCCCAGAAATTGACCAATGCAAGTGTGGCCAGGCAGGATCTGTGAGAGATAAGCCACAATCCTTAGCCTACTGTGACTTATTTAAATGCAACAATTGCGGGAAAAAAATTATTAAAACAAGTTTGAGAACAGGCAATTGATATCACAGACTTATACGTTTCAGACATTTCATAAACGTACGGATTGCTTATGCACTTCGTTTGTAGTAAGGCGAATAGCACTTTTCCAATGGGCAATTAATTACATTGCAGCACATTGCACGGTAAACAGAGGCTGCTTCATTTTAGAGTTAAAAATGTGGCTCATAACACACTTCTCTAATCCCATTGCATCTTCCCTAACGAGATAAACAAAAGCAAACCCCTATTCCCTGCACTTTGCGTAAGCGGCTTTTTATATATATAGGCAAACGATAGCTTAGCTTCTCACGAGAGGATACCTCAATCTATCTGGTTACATTAACATGCAGTGAAGATCACAGGCTACAATAAATTAAGCGCATAAACGGCAATCTTTAAGCGACCGAGTGTTAAGTTTTGGCTAATGGTGTTGCGGATGTGCTTACATGGGTGAAACACCTCAGGACAAAAACACTTTCCTGTGCAAAAGAGGACAGTCTCTTACCGAACGCGCCGAGCGCAGAGAAAACGAAGAGGGGTAGAAATTAAAGACCCATATCACGACACGCACGGCTTGCCCCACTCTTGAAGATTTTTTGTTTTGTGCACGGCTGAAACAATTTGGGCCAGTGTTTCTCACAAGGACAGTGATGCGTTATGTTCGTGAACGGATTTAACCACATATGCGGGAGTGCTTGGAAAACCTGAAGGAATTGAATGTGCGGCACGTGAATGTGAAAGGTGCCACACTACAAGCAGGAAAACGTCGCCCACAGGCCCCCGATGGGGCCGGGGACGGTCGTCACCAGGGTCGTGGTTGTGCAGAGAAAACGTTGCGCAAATTAGGTTGTTGTTAAAAGGACATTTGTTTGGGTGAATGTTCACTTTTTTACTTTACTCTTTACAAGGATTACACCCAATTGAATTGGACTCAAAACAACTGATTTTACGACATCGTTTAATTTCATCTTCTGGGTTCTTTCGGTAAAGTCACGTAGAATGGAGATAAAATAATAAAAATAATAACAGAATACAATTCTCACGACGTTTTGGCCACAACATAAGTAGCCTTCCTCAGGTGAAGAAACAGGACTGTCTGGAAGACAGCGCTTAAGTGAACCCTGCCAAGCTTAGCAGCGTCTTTTAAGCTGTGTGGGAGGAACAGAGCGCCTTGACAAAGGAGTTTACATATAAATTAGCATGTAACAGGGGGATTAGCATGATGTTGGTGTGAGGGATTAGCACCACGGAGAGCGACGAGCTTTGTTCAGACGGACGAGTCCATCTATGTTCGGAACGGAGGAGGGGGGAGAGGAGTTTACATATCAACAGTAAATTAGCATGTAACTGGGGGATTAGCATGATGTTAGTATGAGGGATTAACACCACGGAGAACAACGAGCTTTGTTCAGACGGACGAGTCCATCTATGTTCGGAACGGAGGAGGGGGGGGGGGACGAGGAGGAAACAGCAATGGTGCGCTGCTCTGTCCTGTGTTGCGTTATAACTATGCTATAAACTAGACTACTATACATTACAATATTATACCTTCCAATCTAAACTACATTGTATAATATCGTATCCATAGACAAACCCCACGCTTAAATTATACAATGCGTTACTATACACTACCCTATACTTTAGACTATAAAATATTAGACTTGTAGTATTACACTATGTATTATTTTACTAACCCTTCTGTATAACACACTGCTGTATATTCACTATAGAATTACGGTACTATATATTGCCTTATGAATTATGTTAAACATTACACTGTTATACTATTTATTATTATACAAAATGATATAAACTATACTATTGACCATCGTGTGAAAGGTACTAAGAGGCAGTGCCAGCGAATGGACTGCGGTCTGAAAGTCACCGTAAAATACAATCAATCAAGAACCGAAATGGTTTATAACGTCTTTCCAAAGGTTACTAAGCCAGAATCCATCTTCTCGGTTGAAATTGTCTGTGTTTGTATATGTCGATAGCCTCATGAACGAATCTCTCATGGTAGCCGGATGGCTACCATGTATAGGGCAGTGTATAGTAACGCATTGTATAATTCAAGGGTGGGGTTTGTCTATGGATACAATATTATACAATGTAGTTTAGATTTGAAGGTATAATATTGTAATGTATAGTAGTCTAGTTTATAGCATAGTTATAACGCAACACAGGACAGAGCAGCACACCGTTGCTGTTTCCTCCTCTTCCCCCCTCCTCCGTCCGAACATAGATGGACTCGTCTGTCTGAACAAAGCTCGTCACTCTCCGTGGTGCTTATCCCTCACACCAACATCATGCTAATACCCCAGTTACATGCTAATTTATACGTAAACTCCTTTATCAAGGCGCTCTGTTCCTCCCACACAGCTTAAAAGACGCTACCAAGCTTGGCAGGGTTCACTCAAGTGCTGTCTTCCTGACAGTCCTGTTTCTTCACCTGAGGAAGGCTACTTGTGTTGTGGCCAAAACGTCGTGAGAATTTTATTGTTATTATTATTTTTATTATTTTATCTCCATTCAACGTGACTTTACCGAAAGAACCCAGAAGATGAATCCCTGCAGTCACGAAAGCTTTAAATCGAAATAAAAATCGTTTATTTTAATCAATTTAAACCAGTTTCAGTTCAGTTAAATTGACTTATAATCAAATCGACCTGCCTCAATCAATTCAAGTTTTGCCCAATTAACGCGACTTGTTGATTATTGCAAATTCCTTCAGGGGTAACACACAGCCAAGCCAAGTGAGATATGTTTGTTCAGATCCTTGCTTAACACAAACATGTTAATACAACACCGTGGACTCTTTCGTTTTACAGAATGCATTTTATTTCCAAAGGCACTGGTACATCCCATCAGATGGGGCCATAGTATTGATCTTTTTGTTATCCACATGTGGTATCTGAATGTACGAAGCCATGCATCGGTGACAGACAGACAGACACGTTGTCTCCTGTGAGAAAGCGTAACATTTCAATAAGATCACGTTCATGTATAGGTGCACACACGTACACACAGATATCAACCAAACGTAATTGTTGAAATTTCACACGCAGAATTGCACGTTTCACCAACCACGAGTGTGTATGGAGCTGAACTGGTGACTGGTTTCGAGGAGCTACTGAAGGATCCACCGATGACTTTTGAGTGAAGCGAGACACACTGACGCCTCCGTATTACAACAAGGCTGAGTAAGGCCAATGATTGCAAAGTGCATGGCTCAAGCCTTTTTTTACCTGAATTTTTCAAACGACCTTAAGCCCACGCAAGCCCTGCATTGCAAAAACTGTTCCTTTTGGTGCTAAATCACTGAAAACCTTCAAATGGACCCTCCCCCCCCCCGCCACAAAAACCGAAAGGCAGCCATCTACAAAACATCACAAATTTTCTTCCCTAACGGAGCAAACAAGTGAGTAGTATATTATCCCATCACCTCCTCCGTATTGCACCCCTCTCCTCTGAAACCCTATCTTCGTCAACCACCTTTCGGTTGCGGCTAGGCCCGCCCAGCCGGCCCGCCCGCTCAGCGCCGCCCGTCGTTGATGATGATGTTGGCCGTGACGAACACGATGCAGGAGGCGGCCCAGCCCAGGATGAAGTAGGCCCAGAGGCGGTGGCGAAAGGGCGAGAGGTGCGTGCTCTGCCCGCCGCGGCCCGGCAGGATGGCCGCCACGTGCCGGCGCGAGGACAGGGCCAGGAAGGCGGGCGTCACGTACTGGATGCCGGCGCCGGCGTACGCGCCCGTCACGCCCACCAGCCACTCGAGGTCGTGCGTGAGGAAGGCGATGACCACGGGCGGCAGCACGGCGGCCAGCGGGAACACCACGCACTCCACCAGCCAGGGGTACGTCGTGCCGTCGCGCTTCGCACCACACATCACGAGCACAACGACCGCGCAAAAGTCAACGGGCCGCTCGCGCTTAACCGTAGGCACGGTGCAATGCGATGGCAATTACTCATCATCGTGTGAGATCACTGCCGCGGTGTCACGTTTTGGCGCGCTGCTCTTGCGATCCGCGATCCAGAGGTCTCCGGCAGCTGCAACAACGGTGTAAGTTTCTTAAATAGTACTGACTTTGTCCATGCCGATGTATAAATATAGTTACTCGATTGGTAGGTGGGGTAAAGACGTGAGAGAGTAGGCCAAAATAACCTATGGAGAGGTTTTCTTCAACTTCCTCTCGTGGAGGCCCTTCTGCCGGCAGTGGCGTAAGCAGGCAGTTGCAGGGCTGCATCTTAGCTTGCTGATAGCCCCCTGTCAATCCAGTCGTAGGAGGGTTCTTTCGCTATACTTGCCGGTCAGTGCGAGTTGATGAAAGGGGGCCCAGAAGGGGTTCAGATATCACTCGCCACTCACTGTCGTTATAACTGTGGCTTGGGAATTTGAACTGGGGCCACGGCAACACCTCAACAGCGATAATTAATCACATGCTGAAACATGATGTCACGATATCATATACAGTAAGTGTCTTCAAGAAACATTTTGCCAGGGAATGCCGGGGGGGACAGCGAGCGAGGATGAGAGAAAGCGTGCGTGCATTTAAAGCCAGCAAAGGCATTTGGTGTACACACGAGTGGTTGAGCAGTCACATGCAGTGACACCTAAACGGTCATCACGGGCAATCGCACAGCAAAAACAAATTAGGCGAAGATGTAACATCTGATGAGGTTCAATCTTCTCGTCTGTCATAATCAATACAAGTGACCAAGCCCAGATTTTTCAACCGGTTCGCATCATTTGTACTCAACAGTGACGTGTCAATGATTGATCACGTTGCACGCAATTCTCCATGTGTGAGTCTTGCACGTCTGAACAGTGAAGCGGGGACAATAATGCTCAATTCAACTGCACAACTAGAGAGCTAATTTTTACCCCCTACTTAGTACCGTACACAATGCAGCCAATGCCTCGTTAAGTGATGGTTTGTGGCAGAGATGAGTTTTTGCAATCGCTACACCGTACAATAATGATCAGTAATCAATAATTTAGTACGTGTGGTATTCGTACCACTCTTATAGCACAGGGCTATCACGAAGGCACTTTGTTTCACCGACAGATTACAGTGCGCCAGTCGGGGGTGACATTGCCACGTGTAATCCCAATTGAGTAATCTGCGGTGTAATTTTGTAAATTCGGTAAATGTGGACAAATACGCCAGCACGCAATGGCCTAGGCATTACGTCAAAGGGATCTGTAACAACCACTGTGAATCAGACGGCGTGGAGTGCTTTTACGGTTAATACAGCCGCAGTAATAACCAGTGTGGCCCGCCAGAGTTGAACCACGAGCGGGAACCGCGCTACCGCTAGCTGGGCCGCGTCACCGGCCCAGCGTCACGCAAGGGCGGTGTTGGCCGAGAGCGAGATCCAGCTCACCTTGCCGCTCGTTGAACACGGCGCCCGTGATGAAGCCTCGCGATGCGGCGTGATTAAGGGAGGTGCCAAGACAATGGCCCGACTTTTTGGGCCATTTGGTCCAATTTGGGCGAAATGTCAATGAGCACCGTCCGTAACTGGAAGAGTGCACAATTAACTCTCAAACGCTGTGGTTTTCTGGCCTCTATTCAGTAGCTGAGTATTTTTGATCGAGCTGGTCCCACTTTAGCGAGTGTAAAAAGTGCGCGTGACATTTTTCGTTTAAAATTTACGACCTTGGAATTGAGCACGGTCTGCTGGAGTTTTTATACGGGGTTGCTAGCAATGTTGGATGTATTAACAATCCGTGAGAATAGGTTTTCCCCTTTATTCTGGCAACAAAACAGGTGTTAAGATGTTAAAACACCAAACTGAAACTTTTTACAAGAATCATGTCTGCATTAACCACGATACTTGTGGTCAGAATGCAAACAAAAAACGTACTCTGATAATATATGCATTGTCTTTGATACTGATTGGTCCACACCAGAGACAGCTTTCTTTTGAGCCTTATCTTCAAAACGGTGTTAGACCAGAGGACGCCAAAAGGCGTACAGCAGAAAGACAATGCCACTATCAGAGTAATGAGGGCTCGAGGGTCAGCAGCTACATCATGGGACCTCCTTTGCCAGTACCAAAATATGAGAATAGGTTTTCCCCTGTTTTGTTGCCAGAAAATAGGGGAAAACCTATTCTCATATTTTGGTACTGGCAAAGGAGGTCCCTTGATATTAACAATCCGTCGATTGAAAGATTTAAAAATTCAACACATTCATCAATTGAACTGCACCAAAATAAAAATATATAATCGGGACTGTTTTGGGCAATGGCCCGTCTTTGTGCCAAAAAATACATACGATGTATTTTCTCTTTATTGGTCGTGTTATTGATTAATGTGCAGAGTCTTTTGTTTCATTTTGCTTGTGCATCACTGCCAATGCAGCGTCACGAACTAACGTATCAATTAATATTGATTGCTGAGGTTGACAATGAATGCATGAAAAAAATGTGTATATGCATTCAAAATACACGAAAATTATGTTGCGTTGGATTTAGAATAATGGAACAAAACATAACGGGACGAACAGATAAAACTAAGAACAACACAAAAAGGGGAGTTAAAATAATTGACACTTGAATAGAAATTTGGCATGAATCACAATTGATCGAATTGCAGAGGTCAAGGAATGGCATGGATCGATATCCCGTGATGGCCATGCTCCACCATGGCAACTTTATGTAAATTGTTGCCGGCAAATAGCAACAGCAGCACATTGACCATGAGCGACTGTGGCAACTTGGCGGGAAAGTGAATGGAGTTCTCACCGCCAATCACATTAATGTGGAGCTAAAAATTAATCTGCTAAAGCGGATCAGAGGACCATCCTGCTTATCAGGACTCATCACGCCACACTATCACGCCACCTCTACACAGTCACACAAAACCCCATCTTCACAACCACCATACTATTACAGCACCTCATCATCTCTACACCACCACCACCCCATCTCTCTACACCACCACCACCACTCCATCTCTCTACACCACCACCACCCTATCTCTCTACACCACCACCACCCCATCTCTCTACACCACCACCACCACACCATCTCTCTACACCACCACCACCACCCCATCTCTCTACACCACCACCCCATGTCTCTACACCACCACCCCATCTCTCTACACCACCACCACCACCACCCCATGTCTCTACACCACCACCACCACCCCATGTCTCTACAACACCACCGCATCTCTCTACACCACCACCACACCATCTCTCTACACCACCACCACCCCCCCCCCCCCCACATCTCTCAACACCACCACCACCCCATCTCTCTACACCACCACCATCCCATCTCTCTACACCACCACCAGCCCATCTCTCTACACCACCACAACCCCATCTCTCTACACCACCATCACTCCATCTCTCTACACCACCACCACCACCACCCCATCTCTCTACACCACCACCATCCCACCTCTCTACACCACCACCACCACCACCACGACTCCATCTCTCTACACCAGGGCCACCCCATCTCTCTACACCACCACCACGCCATCTCTCTACATTACCACCAGCCCATCTCTCTACACCACCACCCCATATCTCTACACCACCACCAGCCCATCTCTCTACACCACCACCCCATCTCTCTACACCACCACCACCCCATCTCTCTACACCACCACCACCCTATCTCTCTACACCACCACCACCCCCCCATCTCTCTACACCACCACCCCATCTCTCTACACCACCACCACTCCATCTCTCTACACCACCACCACCCCATCTCTCTACACCACCACCCCATATCTCTACACCACCACCCCATCTCTCTACACCACCACCACCACCACTCCATCTCTCTACACCACCACCACCCCATCTCTCTACACCACCACCAGCCAATCTCTCTACACCACCACCACCACCAGCACCCCATCTCTCTACACCACCACCAGCCCATCTCTCATCACCACCACCATCCCATCTCTCTACACCACCATCACTCCATCTCTCTACACCACCACCCCATCTCTCTACACCACCACCACCCCATCTCTCTACACCACCACCACCCCATCTCTCTACACCACAATCACTCCATCTCTCTACATCAGCACCACCCCATCTATCTACACCACCACCACCACCACCCCATGTCTCTACACCACCACCACCCTATCTCCCTACACCACCACCACCCCATCTCTCTACACCACCACCACCCCATGCCTCTACACCACCACCCCATCTCTCTACACCACCACCACCACTCCATCTCTCCACACCACCACCAGCCCATCTCTCTACACCACCACCACCCCATCTCTCTACACCACCATCACATCTCTCTACACCACCACCAGCCCATCTCTCTACACCACCACCACCACCACTCCATATCTATACACCACCACCACCCCATCTCTCTACACCACCATCACTCCATCTCTCTACACCACCACCCCATCTCTCTACATCACCACCAGCCCATCTCTCTACACCACCACCACCACCCCATCTCTCTACACCACCACCAGCCCATCTCTCTACACCACCACCACTCCATCTTTCTACACCACCACCACCCCATCTCTCTACACCACCATCACTCCATCTCACTACATCACCACCACCCCATCTCTCTACACCACCACCACCACCCCATCTCTCTACACCACCACCACCACCCTATCTCTCTACACCACCATCACCACCCCATCTCTCTACACCACCACCAGCCCATCTCTCTACACCACCACCCCATCTCTCTACATTACCACCACCACCACCCCATCTCTCTACACCACCACCACCCCATGCCTCTACACCACCACCCCATCTCTCTACACCACCACCACCACTCCATCTCTCCACACCACCACCAGCCCATCTCTCTACACCACCACCACCACCACCCCAT